TTTTAAATTAGTATTCATAACAATAATTTTCTCTCATTAGTTAAGTTGTAGATTATTATTCAATTCTTTTCTTTAATTTTTTTTTTTAAAATAAATAAAAACGGACATAAGAAAAGCATAAAAATCAAATAAACCTCAGTTTATCCAAGTTTAATTCAAGTCAAATGTAGTCAATAAAGCGACCGTGCTAGAACCACGGGACTCAGGGAATGCCTTACACCTTCTCCCCGGTCAACAGAATTCCTTACCGGAACTTTGTTTTCGCAGACCAATAATAATAGAGTCAAACCTTCCTTTGAATATGGATTCAAATATAAGGTGACTTGGAACACCAGTAAAAATCAATTCCAAGTGGCGACTCTGTAAATAAAATAATCCCTACTTCAAATTTGTCACTTTAATTGGAAAAGCTCTTTAACCCACAATCCGTTACATTTTGCACACTTATCTCTTGGAGGGGTAAAAAAGGGTGTGACACTCATTTAGGGACTAAGTATCCCAAAACTCTCCGAAACTCCAAATAATTCCTCCCGGCAACTCACAATAGCAGAAACAAATACGGAAAAAACAGTTAATAGGGGATCGAGGCGTAAATTCTTAAAACGACCGGTCAGGTCGTTACAAAATCATTGGCAAAGAATATACTCTCTTACTTTCTTGTTCATTGTTCATCAGAATTGTCCTTTAACTTGATTATTCTTACTTTATTGTTCTTAACCCACCTCGAGGCCACCTTAGCTCGAGGTCGAGACTGGCTTGCACACTGGTTTGAATTTACTTATTTCCTTCATTTATAAATTAGCTTTCTTGGTTATTAATTAGTGTTGAATTAAATCACATATCTTTAAAACTATAAATCAAATTTAATTGTTACTCGTATTTTCGTGGTAAACAGCTATGAAAGTTGGGTTCTCAAAAACATGAATAGGTTAACGTGTTTATTATCGGTACCCAACCTTGAGATGTGGATTATCTAAGGCATGCATGCTAACATGGAGTACTCCTCCCTAGTAACTTTGCAACTCAAAAATTATTTGGCAAACTCCAAAATATAATTTATAATTAAAAATATTTCAAATGAGAGACTTTTCTTTTAGATATAGTTATAATACACTGGCATTATATATTCTGTCAATTTCCGAAGTAAGACGTGGCTTAAATTGTTGACCCAGTTGGAAATATATCCTCGTTCCAAGACTCTTGCATCAAACCCTAATTCCTTTCCAAATAGAGCTTTGTATCATAGAAATTAAACCACTAGATAAATCAAGGATGCACAAAAAAGTTCCATTTGATTACAAATCTGTCACATGGGAGAGTTTAATTTTACAAGGGGGAAATTAGGGTATATCACAGTTCAAGGTAAAATGCCTCTAGGGATAATAACATCCCCAATGTTGTTGTGCCATGGATCGGCTAAGTGAGTTGCCAAATTTTCCAATGGTCCTGTTCCTGGGTATGCTGATTGTTGTACACAAAATCCCACGAATGCTAACAACGCAAGCCGACCTAACACAAAAGTATTTGCATAATCAGATAACATATATAGTAGTTGGATTTATTTACATACATTGATAGTCTAATAAATTTACACCGTTGGTGTATGCTAACATATTGTAGGAAGTAACCTATCTTGTTTTTCAGGTGACAATTTTCACTTAACATAGATGATTACCCGTATTTATCTTTTACATGACCTGATAGTGTAAAAAATTCTTTTTCGTCAGTAATATATAAAAGGTAAACTCACAGTTTACAAGTAAATCACGATAATAAATACTAGTTAATTGATAACAATAATAAGTAAATTGCGATCACATGTTAGGCTATACTAATATTGTGTGTATAATTTGAATTCATAAAAAGAAAAATGTGAAATGCATAATTAGAGGGAAGTCAAGTTCTATACCATTTTTGATTTCCTTGACTTTGAGTTCCTCAAACTTTTTAGGGTCTTTAGAGTAGCCCAATGGGTCAAAAGCCCCACCAGGGTATTTCTTCTTCTCAGGGTCCTTTTCCATACTTCTTTGGTGCTCTACAAAAGCAATGGCTAAGAATTCAATGGCTAAAATTGTAGGAAGAGTGCCCCATGGAACGGGCTGGCCCAAATATGTAGCTTGTCCTCCTGGAATGGCAGCCCATTCTTGGGCCTTGACCCAATTGCCTAAGCCCAATGCCTCTGGAACTAGGATTCCTGGCTGCAAAGTTTTATATGAATATTAGAGAATTCAAAGGAATTTATTTAGAAGAATTAACCCAAATAGTTGTTTATTTAATTTTTTAAATTAAAAATAGCTGGCGGATGTATAATTTATATATAATACGTGTATAACTAATGTATACCGGCCAGAAAAAGTAAACAGTGAAACTAGCCGTCTATTTGTGTAACAACCTATTTATTTATTATTTATTTGTCCTAATCAACTTGAGAAATTTATTAACATGATGTGAAAAAAAATCAAGATTTACGAAAAGAACAACATCTCTTCACAATTTCTTCAGAAGTAAAAGTTACCATAACGTAATAAAACTAAGTTCTACGCCCGATACAAGCTAAGAGGACTAAGAGTTTTATTTAAAGAGAGTAAATGAAATATAACATTAATGTACAAACAGAGGCGGATCCAAAATTTTGATTATATGATTCTAAAAAAGATAGCTTACTGCGTTCTTTTATTTTCCATTTCTTAAAATGTAGCATCTAAAAGAGGGATTGGCGACTAAAAGAACTTACAACAGCAAGCATAGCCCATCTGCAGTGAATGAGTTCAGATTCTTTGTATCTCTCCAAGTTTGATGGTACTTCTCCTAGACCAAGTGGATCAAATCCAAAGTCTCTGCATTCATTCCCAACTCAATATTTATGTTCATAAAGTTAATGTTTCAAATTATATGACCAAAAAAAAAAGGTTTCAAAATATATACTTCCTCAGCCCAAAAAAGAATAATGGGGTTCACTGTGCGATATCAATGCATCTAATTTTCGTATAAAATTGGACAGCTATATCTTAATCTTCTTTAAACAAAATTTGCATACTTACAACTCGCATATAAAACAATGCAAATTAAATACAGTTAAAAATATTTAACAAATAGTCATTACAAAAATTGTTTGTCACCTAAAATAGCAATAAGTTTTATTCTTTCGAGAGAAGAAAAGGCTCCCTTCAACGCAATTTATATGACGATTTTTCTCTTTTGGTACGTCTCAGAAAATTTCATGCTTCCAGAATTTAAATCTATTAAACTATATTTTAAACCTTAATGCCTATCAAACTTACTTTTACTTTAGTATTTTCCATTCAGTCAAATTAACGTCTTATACCTCGTGTCAGATCAAATGTCATCATGTCAATAAATTAAATTAAAGGTATACAATTTCATTTTCAAGTGATGAGCTTACCCGGGGGCTGAACCGTCGAGGTAGGAAGGGCGGGGTTGGCCGGGCATCCACTCGGCGGACATGGTGAACCTAGATGTAGCATTGGTGGCTCCGGCAGAAAACGGCACGGCGGCAGCGAATTTAGACTTGGAAGAAGAGAGGACAGAGGGGCAAACAGCTGCTATTCCGCAGCTCATCAATGCTTTAGAAGCCATATCTTCTTCCTTTTTTTGACTAAATGAGTAGAGAAAATAGAAAATGTATGTGGTGATGAAGAGAGTGAACAATAATAATGGGGAGTATAAGGAAGGAGTTTGGGATATAAGAGAATCTGAATGTAGATTGTTACTGGCTAAGGCGACTGGTTTCTGTTTTGTCATTGGACCACGTGGTAGATGAAGTGGATATATGTGATTGTGATTTTGTGGAGGTGGTTTTCCTAGTTGGAGACACGTGGGGTTTCACTATGGCTTAGATTCTTGTCTACGTGGAAAATCTGGCATTTCTTCTAAAGTGAGATGATGAGAGAACTTAAGTGACATTAATCATTGATTCGTTATCCAACTAAACAAATCGTTCAACACAACAATTGGAATTTCCAACTTTCCTAGATGTAATCCTACTGACTTGCTAACCACTAATGGTTAGTTGGCCCGCCCTTATTCTTTTTCTATAATGGTGTTGTTCAAATTAATTTAACAATATTACTCCTTATGTTTCAATTTTGATGACACACTTTCTTATTAGTCTATTTAAAAATAATGACACACTTCTATAATTGGAAATAATTCAACTCTAAACTCTTCATTTTACCCATTTTAGCCTTAGTGAGAATCTTTTATAACTACATAAATTGTCACGACCCAATTTAGGATCACGAGCGACACTTAGGAGCAAGCGCTCCCAAGTAAACCTCATCGGTAATTTACAGAAAATCGGACATAATTTTTCCCATTTTTGGACTATCAAAAAAATTTTCCTGTCTCAAAATCAACATCCTAATATCAAACCAACCAACAACAACTTATCAACTAACCAAAACAAGTCTCAACCATTAATAATCCACCCACTAACAGCCAGAAATACTAATTTATCTCCAAATCATATTTGAAAGTGCAATACTCATCATAAGTCTAAAAAAACGAAATAATATTCATGACACTAAAAGAATAACTATGGAGCAACTCTAAGAGTTCAAAGAAAAGACCATAACAATTAACTAAACTCCTTGCCCATTTGAACAAATACGGGGCTCACCAAGACCTATCAACCTGTGTGTTCTAACTAACGAAATACTCGCATGCGTCAACTACTATCTCGGTAAGAAAAATAGCAAGGAGTGATTGGGTGACCGGCCATGATGGAAGCCACAAGAACTGCCCGGGCAAGAGGAAGGTGAGTCTCATTCTGGCATAGATCCAACCTACTACAAATAAAGGTCTGCCACCTTTTGCCTCAAAGCTCAAAGTGTTTCGCTGAATGGGAACTCTAACGGTAATCCATGGTGGTGGTGGCCCTGGTGGTGCCAAATAGTGCCAGAATCTCAGCTAGTCAAGGATGAACTTCCTCTTTCAGTGCACACTTCTCCAAGTACTCTGTTGGCTCAACATCCCCAATAAGTACGTGTTTAATGTATGCTGACCAAACCTTACCTTGAGTTTGCGTACTTTGGTCACCTTCATCCCTTTCATTATATGAGCCATATTAGCATATAATACACGGACGAGGTATTCTTTGGCATCCTCCACACTCTGGGTGAACCACATCCACCCCTTTCGTGCCCTGAACTATCTCAATATAGCTAGGTTGTACTTTTCCAAATCTTTCAATAGAAATTGTCGCTCAAGAGTTAACGACCTTATTGGCCATCATATACGGAAGCTGGTGAAGTTGGCCAGGCTGACAAAGCGATCCTCCCAAACCTCTTTCTTTTTTGATCTTTCAAGCCCTGAAGTTGTAGCATCACCCCCTCTGCCATCATCGGGGATATCATGTGTAACCTGTGCCTTAGGGACTGGTGTAGCCGATGGCTCAGAAGCCTGACTAGCACTCTCCGATCCCTTGGAAGTGCTGTGAGATGAAGACGGCTCGTCCTTGAGCTGGTGTCACACCTCCCTTTTTACTACACCCCGTAAAGGGGTATATGGGGAGTTTTTTCAATTTAAGTGACATTATTCGAAATGAGATTATTTTATTTATTTTCAGAGTCGCCACTTGGGATAATTTTATGGTGTCCCAAGTCACCGGTTTAAAATCTCGAAGCGAGGAAGTTTGACTTTCCTTTTGAAGTCTGCGAACCAGAAATTCTGAATAAGGAATTCTGTTAACCTGAGGGAAGGTGTTAGGCACCCCCGGATTCCGTGGTTCTAGCACGGTCGCTTAACAATTTATACTTAGCTTAAATTGTTTAACTACTCATTTTTAAGACCTATGTGCAATTATCTTTTTACCGTTTTTAAATTACTTGAATTATTCATAATCAAAGAATTGAGTTACGCGTACGTATACTCTTTTATTTTGGCGCATTAAAAAATCATGTCACGTGAACGTGTCCACAATTAATTAACGCTTTATTAATTATTAAAGAAAATTTCGATCAAAGTTGTGCGAACGCATACCTCGATTTTGTTTTAGAACATAATTCGTAATTATGGTACGCGAATGTATACATAATCACAATAATATATTAAATCGCCTTTTCATTGTTGTCGTAGGACCAATTCAATCCTAATACAAAATGCTATTCTAAAATAAGGAAAGAATTGCCTAAATTTCCGGGTAATCAAAAGTTGTGCACACGGAATGAAGTATGTTATATTATACCACGAAAAGGACATGTAACAAACAAACAAAAAAAGAAACACGACTCTAATATGATTCAACAATTGTACCATATCATAAAATGGTTAGGCACTAAGAAAATAAGGCATTATTCGGTGTTTTAACTAACACAATAAAACGATATAAATGTTAGTACTATAAATTTGCTTTCTTCTTTTTTATTCTAAAAAAAAATCAAAACTAAAAGCAGAAACCCACTTTCAAAAGTAGGAGCAATCAATGAATAAAAATAAATAAAAAATACTTTGTACTGATCAGCAAATCATATTACAAATATAACAAGATGAAATGAAAGCATTATGTGTATATGACCACAAACATGGAGTATAATAGTCAAAAGCAAAAGCAAAAGGTGCTATTGTTTTAGCCGCTTTTAATATTTCAGGAAAAATTTCAAGTTATTTAAAATACATCGTAAGTCACGCTACATAAATGCATCCGCGGTTCGCAACACATTTTTATTTAACGTTGTTGAGATTTGGATTTGGGTTACATGAAATGCACACCCGAATTTAAGGAAGTTAATTTAAATTACGCGCCTAAAGCAACTACGCACTTTCAAGTTTGCGAGGACCATGGAAAATTCAACTAAATGGCACGCCTCGATTGATAAGGATTAAAATTAATTAAATGAGGGCCATGAGTTTTGGGATTTTATTTGGCACGGCACGCCTCAATTTTTTTTTTTTAAAATTTAAAATATTCGAAGTTGTTAGGATCGGGTTACATGAAGTGCACCCCCCGATTTTGGGAACTATGTATCATAACTATGTCACGGGAGCCGTACCCATAGTCACGATAATTAAGAAAATAAAAATAAAATTAACTAAAGTAAATAAAACTCGTTTCATGCTCATCTTCTTTTAATTTTTCATTTCATGTTTTTGGCCGAGCCCAATTACTAAACATAGAAATAAATTAATCATCAAATGGGCTGATTATGCCCCCAATCCCCATGACCCCGCATTTTATTTAAAAGCACATATCAAACGAAACAAAGCATGGCAGATAATTCAGATAAAGAAATAGCGAAAATGCGGGCGACTAGCCAAGAGAAGTAAACTAAAACACGGTAAAAGTTGTTCTTTAATCCCATTCTACACACTCCTCTCCACCGCAATTAAGACCACACCATGTGATTTTATATCCATGTGCTATAACTTTACAATTTTATTCAAATACCACTTAAAAAATATCAAATCCACATCCATATGGACACTACATTTAAATATGCAAATTCTATTATGAAACCCATTTTTACCATAGAAATATGCCAAGCATCCAAATTCAAAAGCAAAAGCTCTTTTATGTTACTGAGGTAGTTTACCAATATTAATTAAATGAACCAAGTGTTGAATCATATGACAAGTGCTTTCACAGATTCAACGGTGGGAATAAATTTCCAAACAAGCAACCAATTCCAATTCC